ACAACCTAGATTTATAAGTTTAGGAGCAGAAGTATGTATGCTGCATCAGTTTATGGCATAAAAGAAGTGTCCAATATATTCAGCTTTCAATTAAGTATCACATCATTTCTGCTAACAGCAACATGCACAGGGTTAACTAGCAATTGATACAGAAGAATCAAATTTGCTATCATCAGGTTCCTTTCACATGTATTGTAGAAAATTTGAAATTTCAAATCTTCCTTATGCTGAAATTAATGCCTAGACTTTTCCTCTATGCCATCCTGTTGTGTGTTTTTAAAAACAAATTTAGCCCAAGACTAACATAACCTTAAAGCCTACATTTAAAAGTTTAGCAAGGGACATGGCACAAATAAAATGAATCCATCATAAAGCGTAATTATCAAAATGTTACAATTTGTGACTTGAATCTTACAATTCAGATAGTTTGAACACCATTTTCGATATGAATCACTCGTTGAATCTCATATCATAGAGATGACACGTGAAACTATGTGACATAAAATGATTTCATGAAAAACCAAATTATTAGTAAAGGATCATAGTTTTGAATTATTGTTTGATGTTTCAGCGTTGTCAGTTGAAATCTGAGATAAATCTTCATCATCACCAAGAATATCATCATCGATCCAGTGAACAACCTCTCTTGGTGCCTGAGAAAGAATTTTGACACCAAGTCAATCTCACGAGTACAAACTACCAGAAAACAGGGGTAGCAATATGGCAAAGTATCAGTAGTTTGACAATGATATACTCACTCCAAATAATGATTTTATGAGTGCTTCATCCTCTTCTTCCAACTTCTTTTCTTGTTGACAAAAAAAATGCCAGGACTTAGTAAGAACTGATGGTGATAAAATAGTATCCAAATTCACATGTTTTGAGTTCCTATGCTGCCTTGACAAATTCACACTGCAGCTATGATGTGGTCAAATAGCTATACCTCTGGATGATTTGTTATGACATCAATTGGTCCAACAGTTTAAAGTATAGAAATACTGAAGCTCAAATTCCAACAAAAAGTTTGCTTTTGAATTCGAGCCCCATCAAATTCTCGTTAGATCAATACAGCCAATGCCTAGCCTTAACACTGAACAGATTTTAGGTAGGTATGCCAAACCAGCCATTTAACTAACTTATCTCAAAAGATGCTCCAAAGACCGAGATTTTCAGATCAAAACGACGCCCTCGACGATCAACACAACTTTTACAAAGGCCGAAGAGAAGGAGGACACTCTAACTAGATCAAACCCTAGAGAGAAGGGAGTTTCTAGAGAGAGGCTCTCAAAAATGGTTTTTTAGAAAAAGTAGGAGAGAGAAAGAAAAGCAAAAAGTGATTTAAAATCACCCAGCGGATAACTCATATACGTATGACCTGCTCGAGCGGAGAACACAACGCTCGAGCGCCAAGAACAAAAATCTGAACACGCTCGAGCGCAATAAGGCCCGCTCGAGCACCAAGACACAAGAATAAAGCACTTCCGCTCGAGCGTGAAAACCAGTCTGCTCGAGCATAGATTTCCACCTCCCAGAACTTATACCCAGAAAGTACTACCCGCTCGAGCGCCAGAAGACCCGCTCGAGCTCCACCGCTCAAGCGTAAACAAACCCGCTCGAGGGTAAAAATCACATCTGCAGAAGTTTTGCAGGAACACGAAATACTGGTTTTGTGCAATCCCCGCTCGAGCGCAAGAAGACCCGCTCGAGCGGAACGCCTAAAAACTGGATAACAAGGAATTGAAACCAAGGCCTAACCAACCTGTAACAACCCTGCTCAAAACATCCTAAAACTCAATCAAGGGGAATTAAAGGACGACAACAAGATAGATACCACTACCAACTTCACGGAACCGAGTCCGGAACACAACAGAACAGTAAAGGGACAACCGGGATCGCTATAAGAAAGACAAGTAAAAAGACAATAAGAGTTTGAATGAATGCCTTTTGTATTTCACTTTGAGAATGCTTTAAAATTCTTGGATGGATTAGAGCAAATGAGCTCCTCTCCTATATATATAGGCTCCCTAGGAGCATTCTAGAACTCTCAAGAAAATGTCATGTAAAAGCTTCCCATAGAAGCCTTCTTTACAAGTTACAAGAATGTTCTAGAATGCCTTCTAGAACTATCTATACAAATATCTAATTTTATGTACAAGTGTATAGGTTCTTGAATTCCCTAAGTTCTAGAATTCTTCATAGTTTGCTGGGGAGTTCTAGATTCTTCCGTTAGCCTCTCTTTCTTTCATGCTCCCCTTTGGATATTTTGGAGAATTTCGTAGGGGCGTTACCGGTTGCTAACTTGCTACAGATGCATAGTAAGGGATAACAGACAACAATCAATCAAATGGAACTATGCAAACATTAAAAAAATAGAATCTAAGAATTTTTTGGACCAACTTAACAACCTTCATTCTTTGAATGGTAACTTGTTTTCATCAGATAATTTGTTGGCTTAGCGGGAAGTTCTTCAGAAACCTATTAGTGGGAAGTTCTTTAGAAACCTTTCTCCTCTGCACAAGAAACATAATGAACTTAGTAACAAACGCATAGAATTCATAAAGTTTATTGATTTATTCATTTTTTGTTTCAGGTACAACAGTATTTTCATTGTAAACACCAACTATGATTTTCATGAGTGCTCCTTGAATGTGTACGATAGACCCTTACTTGGAAGCATGAAAAGAAATGTGGGTGTGGGGAGAGGAGGCAGGAGCAGAAGAAAGAGTGTCTGCCAACCTAGATTTATAAGTTTAGGAGCAGAAGTATGTATGCTGCATCAGTTTATGGCATAAAAGAAGTTTGTGTTAATCCTCTAACCTCAATTGGAGACATCTACCATTCGTCACTAGTTAGGAAATAATAGGTGACCCACAGAAACAGGGGAAGAATAATAACTTCTAATAAAGACGAAACAGAGGGAGATCCTGAATTTTTGTGCAAAAAATTTCAAGTTTTTTTTTCCCTTCAAGAAGTTATGCAGACATTTTGATCAGTTAGAAATCGTGGTAGTTATGCACAACAACATTCTCTTTGGATAAAAACCTACAAAATAGTTTAAAGCCTAGATAATTAGTCCTTATCTAACATCAAATTAATAAATAAATAAAAAATCTAAGTGACTATAAACTAATTAAAATGGTTTTCCTTATCAGTAATAAGGAGATTGATTTTTGATGTCAAAAACATGTATTTCAAAAATAAAGAAAAATAATCATCATAGTACCAAGAGATACCGTTCCAAAAGGTTAACAATCAACCAAATGTTAAAACAAGTAACCTGTTCCTTAGAAACTAGTTTTGTAAACATCATAATTTAACTTAAAAATTAGAAAGATCATAATCACATCATATCCCACTATACATTACATATGAGGAATCTATGACTAGAACGCTTGATATGCACAATCACCAGCATGGAACCAGGCCCTAAAACATGCATGAACTAATAGCTATTTTGTTTTTTTATTATTCACTATGTGCTTATACCACAAGGGTGTAGTCTGATCAATGTGTCTAGGTGATTAAACACATACCACCAGTAAAAACTGATGTACACAAATCTTTTGGTTCTCTACAAGTCCCACGAATAAAGCCCGAGCTATGAATAACATCCAAAATGTACACTTTCCTTCACAAAAAACTGTTGCCTCAATTACATGCCAACAATATTCGAGTTCTACTAGTATACCCAAAATTTCTAGCAATCAATCATTCTAAAACAAAGACATAAATTTAGCATGACTAATAGTGAGGGATTAATAGTCCATGAGATTAGCGTAGTTAGTGAGACACATAATTCCCTCTTGTCCACATTTATTTTGCAATAGATATGAAAATATATAATCCCAATTATATATATGTTTTGCATTATTAGTTGTAGGATTAAAAATTCTATCAATTTTGTTGAATAAAATGGTCATTGAAATCTAATCCGAATAAAATTTGCAACCAAACAGTGTAATGTAAGTCTTATGAATTAATAATCCCAATTAGGGATGGAACTGTATAGGGACGGGCAACGGCCAGGGTCCCTCCCAAGTTTTGGAATATTCAAATACTACCCTTATATTTCATGATTATTTATAATATATAATGAGATTATTTATAAAATATATAATGAGATGATACCTATTTTATAAAATCACTCACTAATTTTTTATTTTACCAGTATTTTATAATACATAATGAGATGATTTTTAACTATTTTAAATTATAAAATGACTGTTTAGATTTATTTAATTTCATCCTTGTGAATTATGTTTTCACAATGTTTGTATAAAAAATTATTTTTAATTAGTCATGTACCAAAACTAAGTCAAATCTTTTTATACACACACATTCCCCACCCCCCTCACCCCCCAAAACAACATTTCCGGTTCCGCCCCTGATCCCAATCCTAGGCAATAGTCTGTCCAACCAAACAGATAGATAACGATACAAATACACAATACACAATATGTAGAGTCTCCAATTTAGAGAATTATAAAAAATAAAAAATTCTCAGATAGTGTAATCAAGGACTATGAAAGAGATTAACAATTAACAATTACGAATAAATAAACACACACACACACATATATATGTATACCTCGCAAACGACTTCTTCCTTGCGGGAGTTGAACTTGGTACCTTTGTAGATGTAATTGCTGCAGGTGCCGCAGTGAATGCTCATGGGAAGCATCATATGCACCTTCATCTGCTGGTTCTTCGGCTTCCTCCGCCTCACAATCTTCGCTGGATCGAATTCCAACGGGTAGTACTTGTTCAACACCTTCCTTTCTCCCATCTCTCCTTACCAAAACTACTAACAACAAAAAAAAGTTGATAAATCAATAAATTTTCTTCAAATTCAACTGTCACACACAATGTTAAGTTATTGTTACTTGAAAATTGAGAGTTTATCTTTATTAATTCTTTATTTCTTCATTAAGAATGATTGATAAAAAAATATCTAAAAAATAGAAAAGGTAAACGATCAACTCTGCATATATTGTACTTCCTCAGATAAACAAGTGCTTATATTCTCCATTTGCAAGTAAGCAAAGCTGATTATAATTGTACATGTCTGCAATAAAAGATGGAGAAAAGAAAGTCAAGTAAAACCAAATAAGATTAAAAAACTGTTCCATCAGATAAAAGTATAAACTACACAAAACCCAAGGGAAAAAGAGGTCTAAATCAGTAACCTCGAGGTCATGTTTGTTAGGAGGGAGTGGAACAGATAGGATTTGGTCAGTCATTCTAAGCCAATTCAAACATGGGATATGATACTCAATCCAAATGGATTACTAGTATACACTTTAGGGGTGTTTATTTGGAAAGATTGGAGTGGGAGATTAGATTCTATGTCCAATCCACCATGGAGTTTATTGTTTGGTTGAGAATTTGTAAGGCGGATTAGGAGTTCCACCAGACTATGAATCCTATATATATGTTGGACTACTGTGTCCTACAGGGGATGTGGAATAGAAATGGTGAGATTGAAATTAGATTAAATTGTAAAATTATACATTTGCCCTCTAAGTGTTTGATTTCATTATGTATTGTATTTAGTAAAATAAAATAATGGGAGTTTTTTTGATAAATTCTCTTTCTAAGAGTTTTATTCTATCCAACCCATATTATTTTTTTTTACTATTCTATTAGGTCCTATTTGAGTTAAGAAGACCAAAACACCCTCAATCTCTCCTACTCCTATTAATGTTAATAATTAATGTTGATTGTCTTTATGTTTTGGTAGTTCTCATGCATCAAGATGTTGACTATCATTATATTCATATTAATTTGGAATGAATTTTTGTCATTGGGTTGTCAATTACATGATGTGAATATTCATACTAAAACATACGAATGTGAAAGTTCACATCACTATGTTAGATGAGAGAGAATGTTCACATGTTGTGAATAAAAATGTGTTGTTAATTAAAAATATAATGAGCGTTATTTTAATGTGTTGTTAATTAAAAATAAGAAGGTTCACATGTTGTGAATGTTCACATCACTACATTAGATGAGAGAGATTTTTTTGGAAAGGTGTTGTGAACGTTCACATCAGATGAAAGAGAATATTCACATTATTTTTAATGTGTTGTCAATTAAAAATATATTCACATTAGATGAGAGATAATGTTCACATTATTTTTAATATGTTGTCAATTAAAAATATATTCACATTATATAATAATATAAAATAATAACATCAATATTATTTAATTTGTGTATGAAATTTCCTATGCTTTGGTCCTTTTCCTTCTCTCTCCTTCCCCAACAAATATCAACATTAAAGATCAATATTAAATATAAGGGCATAAGAGTCTAAGAAAATAATGTAAATCAAGAAAAAAGACTTTATGAAATAAAAGTATAAATACATGGGACTAAGTGGGTTAAAAAATTCCTTCATAGACTTCTTGGGTTAGAACACTTTTAAATGGGATTTATCAATAAAAAGCCCTAAAATGAAATATAAAAAACTCAATTAAAAAATAAAATAAATTTATTTAATTTTTATTGATGTTTATTTATTAAATTTTTTTAATAAATTTTCATAGATTTTTTATTTAAATTTTGTTGATATTTTATTTAATTTTTATTCATTTTTTTATTTAATTTCATTATTTAATATTTATTATTTTTAAAATAAATTTATTTAAAATTTTATTTTAAAGTAACATAAATTTTTTATTGATGTTTTATTTATTTAATTTTTAAAAAATAAAATAAAATAAAATAAAATATATTTAATCTAGCCAAAAAAATTAAAATATTAAAGACATATTTAGTATTGTTATTACTTAGTAAACAATTGAAAATGATAAAATAGTCCATTAAGCATTTATCCTTCTTCATAATATTCCAATCAAACATTAGATTTAATAGGATAGTCCTTTTACATTTAATCTCATGAGAAAACAAATATGGAATACACATTCTTTATAACCAAATAGTATAAGAACTATATATCCCAGGATTAACAGTCCCAAGGATTTTAGATTATGCATTTGGTAGGATTATTAATCCAATCCCATGAGCATGTCTGCCCAAATAAACATGCCCCAAGTGTCTAGACAAAATAATCCTTTGATTTGAAGTCATACCATATCATATACGACTTTTTCAACGGGTAATTCTATTTGTACACTGAACAAAATCTCAGTACACATCATTTATATCGATCGGATATAAATTTTTAAACAAAAGTCAAATGTTCGGATAGAAATTTATGAACAAAAAGTAGTTATTCGAACAAAAACAGTTGAACAGAATGTATATTTGAACAATTTATTTTTGTTCATAAATGTAAGTCTGAACATTTAACTTTTGTTCGGAAACTTATATTTGAACACCACAAATGGGGTGTGTTGAAATTTCCTATGGTGTGCGAATAGAATTTCCCTTTTTCATCATGCTTACAGTGTGGAAAACAAAACAAAACAAAACAAACAAAAACAAAAAGAACCCACCAGAGCCTTTCAACAGTACAGATGCTTAGGTTCTTCAATGATGAAAAGTTAATTTCAGGCCACCTTAAAACATGAATTCTATGAGCAACATCTTATACATAAACCTAGCTAGACATATTTGAGAAGATTTTAGTAAAACTCAATCTATCATCGTTTGACAAATCCAAACATTGTTTTGTGCTGCTTATTAATGCCTTTTAAGCTATATATTTTGGAAGTCAACAACTTTATGTTTATTTCAAGTAAGAAAATAGCTTTTGGAATGGCTATGATGATTACAATGGTATTTCAAAAAGGGTCATGATTGAGACCCCCTCCAATCACCGCCCCCACCACCCCCCACACACACGTGGCGGGTGGTGATTGGAGGAGAAGGAAAAAAAGAAAAAAGAAAATGAAAAATTAGCCAATCATGTTGAGAGGGGGTCAAAGGGAGTGAGGAGAAAGGGGGTCTGGAACATTATTGTTTCAAAAATCATATGAAAATTATTAACAATTAACAAACTACATAAGGAAATAAAAGGGTTAGAGTTGTTGGAATCCAGTAAGTTTCTTTGAATAAAGATAGCTTGCAAGGAAAAAGAGATGAAGGGAAAATCTAGTTTTGCAAGAAAAATCTGTGAGCCAATGGATCGGGTTTTTCGGGTTTCACATGCGAATTCTTATTTTAAACTCAATTATTTTAATGATACAATTTCATACTTTACTATAAACTTGACAGTTTTGACCTACCTACCACTATACTTTACCCTACCTAATGAATGCTCTCTCAAACCATTTATATTAAAATCGGATTAGAACAAATACAATCAGGTCAGGCAATTTTGCCGTCCGTTTTATAGACTGCGTCTGTTTCACTCAATAAACAGAATAAATTGTTTCCTCTGCCATATATAAACACTAATTTCATTTTTAAAGAACTTCTTCAGCTGTAAGCAACAAAAGTACTACTATAAATCAATGCAAACACAGTTCAATAGTAAAAGGAAATATATGCAATATCGCTGGCAAAAGGGGTGGACTTGATAGAGAAGAAGTCATACCAAATGTATCACCAAAGTTGGTCCATATTTCAGCATGGATGGATTGGTTACTGCCAGCAATACCAATCACCTCAACATATGTAATAAGAGGCAATGGTGGTGAGCCTTTTACAACCAACTGTTTTTTATCTGTAGATTTTCTAACAACACCACCACCATTAGGTTGCACAACCTGAATTACTGCCCGAACCCTTCGTCTCATATACATGGGCAACAACTTTGCATCTAAAAAAACTGCAGGGCTTGATGTGTCCATATCCTTCGAAATAGATAAAACAAGAACAATGTTGCAAAGCTCAAGGTAATGGTTAGTCGCAGGTAAAAGAAAAAAAAATTCCTCAGTTCACAATTAGACAATAAAGCATAAAGGATCCAACCAAACCATCTACATAATTTTTTTTGGCCATTATGTTCTGTCATGGGCTATATGCTATGTTAAAAAAAACTCATATATTTTTTTATAACTGCCACATCCAATGTCAATTTAGGTCTTCTCATAAAGCATAAAGGATCTATCCATAAAATAAAATCAAAAGATATAATTTTGTAGTCTGCTGTCATGTGGATTGTGGGGCAAAAAATATATATATATAAAAAAAAAAAAGGAACATGCAAAGGTTTGGGCTGCACGTCAAGGCACTCTGATCTCAATTCTAAGAAACACTTAACTCAGATATTTCAACTTCTAATATCTTCTTATCTAACCCACTTTGCTAATTCAGCCCTAGTCAGAAGTAGTCCACTTTTAGGGTTTCATGCAACTCATTTGGGTTGATGGCAATCCATCATCGAGCAAGACAGAAAATCAACATTATCACTTTAAAGCAGCCATAAGACTAGTGAAGAACTAGATGTTAGTAGCTCCAACACTGCAAGAGTGAGAAAAGTTATGTTGACCCAACATTGAATCAGAGGGTATTTACCTAAATAGCATTGTTGAAATGTGAAAATGCAAATTAGTATTTGTCATATAAGACATCTTTGCCAGACCATACAGGTGTTACTTATGGCACCATAACTGTAAGTGACTATGAAGAAACTTAGCTAGCACGTGCAACATGTAATGACTCGGATTCTAATTCATATCGGATTGGTGTAAAGTGGTGCCCGTCACGTTAAAACTTGTATGGTTGTCGAACTCTTGGTATTAATGAGTTGGCAAGTGAACTTCAAATATTAATATTGAGGACCCTTGGGTGATGTTTAGAACCTTGATTGAAGTCTTAACAAGGTATTTAGGCAAGATTAGATCAAGATCCCCAAATTTGAGTTTTCATTTTTGACCAACCTTCACTCTTTTGCCATTTTCTCTCTCCATACTTTGAATTTGGATATGAGGCCAAAACCATTGGAAAGCTTGTTTCTGGGGCTTCGATTTGGACACAAGAACAACCTAAAATGGAGTCCTGTAGATTTTCTAACAAGACCACCACCATTAGGTTGCACAACCTGAATTACTGCCCGAACCCTTCGTCTCATATACATGGGCAACAACTTTGCATTTAAAAAAACTGCAGGGCTTGATGTATCCATATCCTTCGAAATAGATAAAACAAGAACAATGTTGCAAAGCTCAAGGTAATGGTCAGTCGCAGGTAAAAGAAAAAAAAATTCCTCAGTTCACAATTAGACAATAAAGCATACAGGATCCAACCAAACCATCTACATAATTTTTTTTGGCCATTATGTTCTGTCATGGGCTATATACTATGTTAAAATAAACTCATATATTTTTTTATAACTGCCACATCCAATGTCAATTTAGGTCTTCTCATAAAGCATAAAGGATCTATCCATAAAATAAAATCAAAAGATATAATTTTGTAGTCTGCTGTCATGTGGATTGTGGGGCAAAAAATATATATATATAAAAAAAAAAAAGGAACATGCAAAGGTTTGGGCTGCACGTCAAGGCACTCTGATCTCAATTCTAAGAAACACTTAACTCAGATATTTCAACTTCTAATATCTTCTTATCTAACCCACTTTGCTAATTCAGCCCTAGTCAGGAGTAGTCCACTTTTGGGGTTTCATGCAACTCATTTGGGTTGATGGCAATCCATCATCGAGCAAGACAGAACATCAACATTATCACTCTAAAGCAGCCATAAGACTAGTGAAGAACTAGATGTTAGTAGCTCCAACACTGCAGGAGTGAGAAAAGTTATGTTGACCCAACATTGAATCAGAGGGTATTTACCTAAATAGCATTGTTGAAATGTGAAAATGCAAATCAGTATTTGTCATATAAGACATCTTTGCCAGACCATACAGGTGTTACTTATGGCACCATAACTGTAAGTGACTATGAAGAAACTTAGCTAGCACGTGCAACATGTAATGACTCAGATTCTAATTCATATCGGATTGGTGTAAAGTGGTGCCCGTCACGTTAAAACTTGTATGGTTGTCGAACTCTTGGTATTAATGAGTTGGCAAGTGAACTTTAAATATTAATATTGAGGACCCTTGGGTGATGTTTAGAACCTTGATTGAAGTCTTAACAAGGTATTTAGGCAAGATTAGATCAAGATCCCCAAATTTGAGTTTTCATTTTTGACCAACCTTCACTCTTTTGCCATTTTATCTCTCCATACTTTGAATTTGGATATGAGGCCAAAACCATTGGAAAGCTTGTTTCTGGGGCTTCGATTTGGACACAAGAACAACCTAAAATGGAGTCCGAATGAGAGAGTTATGGCCGTTTGAATTTTGAGTCTCTGTGCTGAAAGCAGTCTCGCTCAAGCGAGTTTTTCTTCGCTTGAGCGAACTGCGCGATTTTCAGAGATTCTATGAGCTTCTTCTCCATGCTCGAGCCAAGCCTCCTTCGCTTGAGTGACCAAGTCGCTAACAGACATTATAAAGTGACCTTTTAGCCCAAAAACCTTAGTTTTTCTTCCTATCTTCTTCTCTCCTCCTCCATATCCAAAAAACCTAGCCCTCAAAACGTTGATTTCATCCATTTTTCCAAACAATCCACCATGGATCTTACATCAAAGATGAAGAACAAGAGAAGATCAACATTTTCAATTGATTAGATTTTGGATTTTCAAAAGAATTCTTGATCTAGCTTCCTTGCTCCCAATCTTGAGGTATGGGTGTCTTTAACTTGTTATATGTTTGATTTGGGGTACATATGTGATGACTTCATTAGATGTGCATGTAGTGAGTATTTATATATATATATATATATATATATTGTGATGATATGGTTATGTGAATGAATATTTGGATATATGTTGTAAATGTTTCATGATTTATGAGAGAAGTTGTGCTTATTATGGATGATTATCATTGTTTATGATATGAGTAATTGCCTCAATTTCATAAAGAAGGGAAAAACCCCAATTTTTCTCAAACCCTAGTTTTTCCAATTTTTTTTTTATAAAAAGGGGTTTTGCTCAATTGTTTTCAAAAACATGAAATTAAGTGTAATTACTTGGTTTTGAGGTTGAGATTGTAAAACTTTAAGCTTCTCTCTACATATTTCCTTTGAAAGGATGAAGTTTTGGTGTTAAATCTACTATTTTGGACATGTGAAGTTGTGAAATTATTGTGAATGGAAATCATTGTAGGAAAAATGAATTATTTATAAACTCATGCATCATATGCATTATTTATTTCTTTTAGTATCACCTTGGTGCCAAAAGTTGAAAGCAAAAAGGGGGTAGATAGTCTATGAGTCCAGATAGCAAGTCGAGTTGGTTTTGAGTTGTGTATTGTAATTGGTACCCATGCGGGGAGTCAAAGTGCCCAATTGCCCTGTCTGCGCATATCACCGAACGAATGTGGGAAAATATTTTTAGGTGTCCACGAGCCCGCCGTTTCTGGAGCCGGCAAACGTGGAAAAACGGATGATTTTGGGTGTCCACTCCTTGTCGTTTATGGAGCCAACAAATGTGGAAGGTCAAAATGTTTTTGGATGCCCATTGCCCCGCCGTTTCTGGAGCCAACAAATGTGGGACTATTTTCAGTATAAAAAACTATATATATGTATCACTGTTTTGATTGTGGCTCCCACTTGGAAGGTCATAGTATATTTACCGCCCATGGTTACTTTGAAAAAAATGCTAAATAAATGTCATGCATTGCATATTTCATTTGTATTTCAACAAATATTTATAATTAAACATTTAAAATTTTATCATACCTGCATTGCGCGATCATGTGTGTTTCAGTTAATTATATAACTTGTTAAATACATTGTCTACTGAGCTTTTTGCTCATCCCAAAAGTTAACAAATTTCAGGAAAAAATATCGAGGCACCACTACAATGATGGATGTATGAAATGAAGTTAGATGAGAGCACAAGAGCTCTTCTATAGATATTTTGTGATTTGGTTTGCGCTATTTTGTATACACTATTTGTAGTGAAGCAATCTATACAGCCAGTAGTTTTAGTAGTCCTCAGTAAGAACATCACCAACATTTGCAAGAGCATCTCTGTCCCTGATGGCAATGGCAACCCTATTCTAATCCCAATGCTCTACAACCATAGAAACAAAATTTCATTATGAACCTGGAAAGTTCAAACAGTAGTATACTTAATTTAAATCAGTAAAAAGATAAGGCAAAAAGATGATAGAACCAAGCTTCTCAACATGAGAAGTACCTTCCCCAATCTTAGTCATATAGATGAATAGCCTGTAAATTGAATGAGACTCAGACATAAAATGCCACAAGAAAATGAAGCCTTAAGTAACAATGATAGGGGTCGCATGTATGTCTCAGTGCAATGTGGTGTTACCTATCCGATTTTGACCTCTATGGTCAGTAGAATTGGTTTTGAACAGTGTTCCTCAATAACTTCACCTTTCTTTTCTTCTTTGCCTTTTGCCACTGAACATGAGATGTATGAATTTATACTGAATTTCTGGAGGTGCCAGTACTCCTGTGAATATATTTAGGATTCTTGTTATGTGGGTGAATTAGGTGTGCATATGTTCATTGGAATTTGTTCAAAGCCTTGTGAATTTAATACACTATTGCCTTGATTCCTAGAATATTCCTTCCTTGTAAAATTTGTCAACATTCTTTTTTTCCCATTCAATCAAATATTCACTACAACAAAATTGAATTTTTACGCCTTGTCATGTGTTAAATTTGATGTATATAAAAAAAATAGAGAGAATGAAATATGTATTGATGATTGATATTATTGATTGATATCTATTGATGTGTTACAAGATTGTTGTATATATTGATATTTGTATCTGTATATTACAAGTCCTATATATAGAGAGGTTTTGGGAGTA